CAGGAGCATACACTCCTGTCAACATTCCTTACTCCTTGCAGAAGCAGTAGTACCAGACACCGGAGGTGGCTACCCTCAGCATTTAATGTACGAGTCTATACTAGTCCCGCCAGATCAAGCACTAGAAGATTTTTCTCCTAAGTATAGACATGCCCCCGAAGAGTTTACAATCTAAACAGACAAGGCAGATCATGAGTTGCAAGCTGGAATAATTTGTATAGCGTTTTGATTTTGGACACCCTTCAGAGTTGGTTGAAACAAAGGTTTTGATTTTGGCTCATTTCTTTAACGTTATTTTACATTTTGCAGATAGTATCACAACAAGAAGAGATTCTACTCTTTTAGCCATTCTGCTCTTAATTTAAGTCTTTCTTCAAATGTAGCTTTTGGTGAGTTTAAAAATTATGATACACATAAAATAGTTCAAAAACAGAAATTTTTTTACAGACACACTCATACACTTTGTAATTTTATACAAATGCTTCAAATAATTACTAAACAATTCTTTGTTTTCATGCTGGGCTGAGGTTTCCTTCCACATCTGTAGTAAATTGTCCAAAGGAACATGCATTAAGATGAAGAAAATTGTCTTTACATAACATGGCTGGGGTCAGTAGATGAGGCTATGAGTCATGACAAAGATTAGTGTAACCTTTACTGTTGATTACACACAACTTGAATTTATGCACTGTGGTTGAGAGCTCAGAACACATACAACTAGTTTTCCTTACCAAAATCTTCCCATTTCTTTGTGTTCTTCTTCTCTGCCTCCTTCTCAATATGCTAACTTCTCTTATACCTGGCATAATCCCATAAATGGGTAGCAAGTTATGAGAGGGCAAAGTGGTAACAATACAATTTAAAGCCTCTTTCTGACAGTTATCCAAGAAGTAGCTGAAAGGGATATAATTGATACAAGTACATTTCATCACAAGCTGAGTTTCCTAGTCAATGCACTTTCGAGTTCACTCAGTTCTGGGTCCCATGGTGCCATACTTTCTAGCGGAAAAATATTCTTTAAACTGGATGATGCATTATAAAGCATGATTTATGGCAGACACCACTTTCCAGATGACAGAAATGATTGCCAGGGCAAGTTTGAGTTATTCCTTTAATTTGTTTAGAGTAGGGTCACAGAAACCTATCCTTCTGGGTGGTATTGTACTGTACTGACTGAACTCAAGGAAATCTGCTTTACCAAAAATGCTGTTTCTTGCCAAGAAGTATATACAAAATTTGAGTCTGTGGGGAAGGTTATCATGTAGTACTTAGAGGTAAAATATATTAATGTTGTTCAAGGTATGCCCAAAAGGTATCCAGGTGTTACTGAGGGCAAAATTTGATCAGTGGAATTTGCAGCAGAGAGTGAATGTGTTTTGAAGTAGTGGATGAACATTATGTAGTTGGAGAGGACAGGCTACCCCAGAAGTGAGACAAAAAGTTTGCTAGAAGTGTTTGTGCAATGGCATTCAAAGAGTTTAGTGAGGGAGAGGGGGACCAGGAGGGCAAATACTTTAGTCCTGAAGGAGACAGCAATAGGAGGTTAAATAATTGGGGGAGACAGCCTGCTCTGGTGTTTACTCCTGTACCCATAGAGACTCAGGGCCAAAGTAGGCCGCTCTGAGGAAACTTCTCTGACAAGAAAATGTGCTGGTTTTATCTGCTTACCTAGGTCTTCATATTTGTTCCTATCACCAATATCTGATGCCAGTGGTAGAGGGGCATGGGCCAAGGCGAGAGAGAGTACAATCAAAAACACAACATATTTCTGTAACTTTTGGAAATCATGTACTTAGATTTAGTAGCATAAATTTAATGCAGACTTTTCTGTGCAAAACTCTTCTGTGCAAAGCTCTTCCTTCTTCTGTTTCTTCTTATGCTGCTTTACCATCTGTTGATGAATTTAAATAAATATTAAATTATTGTTAATATAAATATATTCTCTGGTCTGCAATATGTGATCCAAATGAAATCCTGGCTTTCTTTGGAATTAGTGATTTCACTGTTGCTGAATGGCTGTACTGACAGCATGCATAAAATTTCAGAACTCACTAGGTCCTTTGGACCATAAAGACTCCACTCTTACACAGAGGAAGTGGGTCTGCAAGAAATCTGAGTGTGAGATAAATATTTAAAATTGTTAATTGCATACAGAGTATATTTGGGAAAGGCTAGGAGAGAAAAAATATTACATTTCCAGCAGAATAATAAAGTAGAATAATTTAAACAACTTCCAACTTTATATACAGTCAAATATTGACAGTAAAATCCTCATGCTTCATATTTTATCAATATTTTTCTCTTTGGTTTGTCACGGGGAAAAAAATCTTAGGCAATCTCAAGTAACTATTGAGTCACACTAAATTAGAATGGTTTCAGTGGAGAATTAAGCCACAGAAATAGTGCAGCATCTTTTTTTATTAAGAAAAAACAATGGCAAAGGTTACAGACTGAAATGTAAATGTAACTATGTTAAATAAGGATGAGGTGACCGCATGTTAGGAAAATAAAATCAGCACAAGATAGCATAAGAGAAAACTAACCCACAATAAATCTATTTTTTGTGCCGATAAATAAAATAACTACAGAATGAACAATTGAAAATTGACCTAAGACATTTTTTCTGGATTTGGAGGGAAGTACGTGATGGAACTTTTATTATAACAACATGGATATGTGTGGAAGTGAGAAAAGGAGGTCTTCAACAGTAAACAGAAAAAATAATTAATCTATCATCCACAATCATCCGAATGATGTCAGTCTGGATTATAACTGCCTATAGAGAGAAGAACTTCTAATTTTCCTAGGCTATTTTGCAATATTGAATTAGAGCATTTTTCCAGATGTGTGTTACGTATACAGCTAAGTAGGCCAACAGGGCACTCTGCTGCTTCATTGAATAAAGCTCTTTGTAAATTAAGCACAATACTTTTATGAAGTGTTTGGCTAAGTGGCCACCTGAATGGATGTAAACAAAGCACACCAAAATTAATATTTTTCGATGTTCTAAGAAATATTTTCTTCACTGAAATAATTTCATAGTGAGCTGAAATAAAAGCTTGGACACAAAAACAACACCTTGGATATAGATTTTCATTTAAGGTTCAGAAAGCAAGTACTGTGGAAAACACTCTGCACATCAATAATCAGTCATAGAAGTCTGATATAAATTGAGAAATTGCATATTCCTGCCAGTAACAGCATTTATATAAATGCCTAATAGGATGGAAGAGACAATTTACAGAAGGTAAAGATAGAATTAAAAAGTCTGGAGCCAGATCTGAACAGGGATCCAGATCCGAAGTTTTCCAAAGATAGATGAGATGTATTGTTTGAATTCAGATCCAAATCATTTCAGAATTTTGATATGTTTCTTAACATTCATTCAAGCAATACCTATGATCCTGGCTATCACAGTAAGTGCTTCTGTAGTCCCCTTACTAAAGGTGCCTCTGCTTATTTTCTGGGAAGATCCTGTGTGCTGCAATCTAGCCCCAGAGACTACAATTCCCATGAGCCCTTGAGGAAACCAGGAAGGAAGTTTTGTTTTGGAAGAGGGGGGGTCTGGGTCTCTCCATGTGTGTGGAGAGAGACTCTCAGCAGTCTGTGGACTCTTCCCTTTGTTTTTTGGAAAAAAGGAGTCAGGCTTCTGTGGAGGAGTTTTAGCCAGTCCAGGAGTTATTAGGTTGAAGCTACAGACTTGGATTCAGAGCCCTTGGGACTGAAATCTAGCAGGCTGCTTCTGATTGCCCTTTGGCTGTACCTGTGGCTAGAAGTACTACTCTTTACCCAGCACACAGAAGGAGACTAGAATCATCCACTCCAGCTGCAAAATCTTCAAGCGCACCCACGCAAGCAAGTGTATAGTACTGTGAGTCCTGAGGAGTGAATTCTCTGGGGTGTGTTAAACGGTGGCAGTGCAAATGCCAGATAGATATGTTCCTATTATTTCAGTATAATTTGTTAGTGTTATTCACTGTTAAACTGTTAAACTCTGTTTCTTTAAGTTGTTAAGTAAAGGTTGTTCTTTCTGCTGTAATCTATTAGATGTATATTATTTATGATTTGTAATTGTTTTGGAGCTAGATCCAGATTATTGCTGGAATAATTTTATTCCTGGAAGCTCCCAAGGCACATCATTAAGTGTGTACAGGGCCAGCCAAGTGGAGGCACCGCCATTATATGTTCGTTATGAGCAAGGGACAGCAGCAAGGGGGTAGATAGGGTTTCCACAACTAAACAACATCACCACTGAGGCACTCAGGATCTCCTTTTATGTTAAAACCGTCAGGTGCCCAGGCACACCTGTGAGTATGACTTGCTCCCGAGTAACCTGGGAAGGAAAAAGGGGGTTACACTTCCTATTTAGAACCTAGGTGTTAGTATATCTATAATCCACATGATGGATAGCAGTGCCAAATAGGGTTGCTAGGTATCCGGTATTGACCTAGACAGTCCGATATTTTTGCCTCCTGTCCGGTAAAAAAAATTCAGAAAATACCAGACACCTAAAATGTCCGGTATTTTCTGATTTTTTTCCCAGCCAGGAGGTGAAAATACTGGGTTCTTACCTGGTTCTACAAGGGAGCTGTCTGGCCTGGAGCAGGAAGACAAGATGGTGGATGGCCGCCAGCAGCCTGTTAGGACCAAAAAGCCTCAAAAGCATTTCTTAAAGGGAGCACGCTGTTTTTTAATTTTTTTTGCCTAATAACTTTAAGGGTCCTTTTTTTTTTTTGGCTCAACAACTTTGGTCTGCTTTTTTTTTTCTCAACAGAATTTCCTCCCCTGCAATTTTTTTTGTGGGGGGGAGGGGTTTTTGGTATTTTTGGTTAAACCATCTGGCAACCCTAATGCCAAGTTCAATATTAAACTATTTGTACAGTGAAAAAGAAGCTGTTTCATTAGCTGTTCACTTTGGCCTCGTCTATAATAGGAGTCCTGGACACTGGCAGGAGCTGCCCTCAGCATTCGATGTACAGGTCTATACTAGATCCACTAAACTGAACTCCAAAAGATTGACCTCCAGAGCTTCAATTTTCTGGTAAGTATAGACACGGCCTTTTTGTGAGCTTAGCTCAAACTGTTACTAGCAAAGAGGGGTTTCCAAACAGGCAGTTGATCTACTTACTTTTGTGTACTTGATTTCACACTGGGTTTACTTTTCCAAGACAGAGTGCCTTCAATTCCAAATGACTTCATCCTTGCAGGAGCTTCTCAATGCCTTGCAGAACTAGGTTATTAAAAAGAAAGAAAGAAATTGAGAGAGAGAGAGAAATGTAGACACTTTAAACTGAGGTGGTTAGTTATCCTTAATAGAAAGAACCTTAAATGAGGCTTTAACAAACTTGTCCTTATTTGCAAATCAACAGTTTGTGTTGCTCTAAGGTGTATGTGTCAGATCCAAACTTGCCAATTTTAAATATTTATGAGTTAGGACTGCTAAACTACTTGGTGTTCAACCTAAATTCTTTCACCAATCGTTGTTTAGGGCAGCAAAGCAATTCAAACTTGAAGTTTCTAGCTTTAGCCTTTTTTGAGGTATTTTAGCACTTAGGAGTATATGGGGAAATTGCATGTTTTAACTCATGATTCCAAGGACATAACTAATTTTGCCCAAATTGTATTTAAAAATATGACACTGGACTAAGATGAACCATGAAAAATTGTATCTCAAGCACAGGGGATTATAAAACTATATTTACAACAAATTGACAGCTTTTATATGCCTAGTTTAACATCAGTGTTCAATTACCTTTCCAGAGAAAATAGTATAACCCAACCAGTAACATATGTACATCCTTACAAATGACACACTGAGCAATAAAAATTATGTCTACATAGCTGTAGTAAAGCAGTAATTAAAAACAGTTCACTGAGGAGGAACATAATTTCCTCCATGTATATGGTCCTCATCCATCATTCCTATGATTCTTATGGCCTGTGTTCATAGAATCATAAAATCATGAAAGATTCATGCCATGGAAGAGACCTCAGAAAGTCATCTAGTCCAACACACTGCTCAAAGCAGGACCAATCCCAGCTATATCATCCCATCCAGGGCTTTGACAAGTCTGGCCTTAAAAATCTTTAAGGATGGAGATTTCATTATCTTCCTAGGTAACCCATTCCTGTGCATCACCACCCTCCTAGTGAAATTGTTTTTCCTAATATGCAACATAGATCTCCCCCAGTACAACATGAGACCATTGCTCAATCTCTCCTCATAAGTCATGTACTCCAATACCCTAAGTCATTTTTGTCACCCTCCATTGGACTCCCTCCAATTTGTCCACATCCTTTGTGTAATGGGACCCCCAAAACTGGACATAATACTTCAGATGTGATCTCACCAGTCCTTAACCGAGCGGAATAATCACTTCCCTTGACCTGCTGGCAATGCTTCTACTAATGCTGCCCAGTCTACTGTTAGCATTCTTGGCATCAATAGCACACTGTTGATTCATATCCAGCTTCTCATCCATTGTAATCTCCAGGCAAGATTATTGTGGGAGCCCACATAAAAAGCTTTGCTAATGTCAAGGTATATCACATCCATCACATTCCCCATATCCACAAAGCCAGTTATCTCATCATATAAGACAATTAGGTTGGTAAGGCATGACTTTCCATTAGGAAATCCACTTTGACTATTCCTGATCACCTTCCTCTCCTCAAAGTATATCAAAACGGATTCCTTAAGAACGTGCTCTGTGATTTTTCTGGGGATTGAGGTGAGGCTGACTTGTTTCTAGTCCCCTGTATTTTTGTTCCCTTTTTAAAAGATGAGTGCCCGCAGCCCCCACACTTCCAACCTAATTGGTTCCTGGAGAACTGTTGTAAGTCAAACTCTTATTTCCCATAGGCGCAATGTTAAAAATGGTGGTTTCATTCCTGGAAACCCATTTCATACCCTAAAAATACAACCAGGCGGGATGCTACTGTAACAGAGCCAGCCACAGCTCCCAGTCCCTCCCGCTGCGATTCACATGAGGCCATCTGGTGGAAGAAACAGCCTCCCGCTTTGCTTCCTGGGAGTTGTAGTCCCCAGTACGCCGGGCTTGAGAGGCCACATTGGACCAGAGCAGGGCAGTCACTAGGAACAGGCCACGCTGCTTGCCAGCACTGGTACTGATGCGTGGAGTCTGCATCATATGCTGTTGTAAATGCAGAGGGTTGTAAGTTGGGATGTCGTAAGTTGGGGTTTGCCTGTATTATATTTGCCTTTTTTCATGATATTTGTCCCCCAGTCGGCATGAGCTTACAAAGATGATGGCCAATGGCTCTGCAATTACATCAGCCAACTCCCTCAGATACATTGGATCTGTCCCCATGGACCTGTGCATGTCCAGCTTTTTTTAAAAAGCTGAGGATTGCTCACCTCCTCCCCTTACTATGCTGCCCAATTCAGCAGTCTGGGAACTGATGTCTGTGAAGACTGAGGCAAAAAAAGTATTGAGAACATCAGCTTTTTCAACTTCATCTGTCAATAGGCTGCCTGCCCCATTCAGTAGGGGTCCCATACTTTCCCTGACCATCTTTTTATTCCTGTCCTACCTGTAAAACCCTTCTTGTTGTGCTTCCCATATCTTGCTAGCTGCAACTCCAATTACATTTTGGCCTTCCTGATTACACCCCTTCGTGCTCGAGCAATATTTTTATACTCCTCTTTAGGAGGAGGTCCCTGTGTTAGACAGTAGGTCAGGCCAGATGACCACAATGGCCTTAAAAGCGATTAACCTATTTTACCTTTAAAATGGCCATTCTTCATCATGTAAGGGGACCTTCTAATGGGAAATAACTCCCACAGACTAATTGTAATCATGGAAACTGCCTATATAATCAGGAATATTTTAAGTTGTCCTGATTATATAGGTAGTTTTTATCTTTGCATATGTGCTGATGATGTACATAATTGGAGCAATGTGCCTTAGTCAAGCTAACTGCAATCATGAAATTACTCAAGCCAATTAAATTGTACAGAATGCTATGATTACTGTCTTTTTAATAAAACATCCCTGCAGTTCCCAAGCCCATAGATGCTTCAAACCAGCTGCAGCAGCAAGGCTTTAACTCAGACTTCAGGTTAGTGAGTGGCACATGACATACCCCTTATAAGCCTGAATTCCCTAAACAAGGAGATATCAGCAATATGGACTTAAACATTAAATACAGGACAGCCATGCACGATCATTTATGCCTTCGTTTAACATGATCCCATTGTACTTTCCTTGTGTTACTAAAATACAAAGAAAATGAGTTTGTTACAGGTTTACTGCACTAAAAATTGACTTACAAATAGTCATTCTGTGTTTTTAAATTGAATTTTGCAAATAAAGGATTTCTTAGGGGATTTACTTTATCCTGTCAAAAGTTATCTGCCTACAGTGCATTGATAATAATGTACTGGCTTAGTATTCTCACCTACAATGTGTGAAGCCAGAATGCCACCTGCAGGGGATCTGGCTGGCTCATATTGTCTAGAAGCTACACATATTGAAGGTTGTATCCTGTTGTTGAAAGAAGCAGCAGCATCTGGCCCTAGAACTATTTTAAAGACTGTGACCATTACAAATTTGTCCATTCACCAAGGGATCATTTATAAACTGTTTACAGCAATTTCTTTGTAGCATATGGCCATTAAATCACACACTATTGCTCCTGTTCTCTTGGCATAATTTGGTGATAAAGATGCAAACTTTAATCTAAGGTTTGACCATGTAATTTCCTCCATTTCAGTTCACCTGACACATCACTGCAACTACATAGTTCTGCGTGGAAACCATCTTCACTCTTCAATCTTCCAAATACATCTGGTAAAAATTATCAGCATTATTTTGCCATCTTTTGTTAGTCATGTTTATCTAAAAGGCTATTAACCAGGGGATAAAATGGTGTCCTTGGCCTCTGTTTGTCAGAGGCTGGAGAGGGATGGCAGGAGACAAATCGCTTCATCATTGTCTTCGGTCCACCCTCTCTGGGGCACCTGGTGCTGGCTACTGTCGGTAGACAGGATACTGGGCTAGATGGACCTTTGGTCTGACTCAGTACGGCCGTTCTTATGTTATCTTATGTTATATCTTATGTTTCAGCCTTAAAAAAGGTTGGTGCATTCTTGTAATGGGGTTTCAAATATGGACACTTATATTTTTCATCAGCGGGGGAAAAACTGTTTTAAGTTATTGAATTACTCAATTCGAAGAGATACTGCATGAGACCTTGGCAATGTTGACATTCCTCTAGCATGCATCTAGGTATGTACTATTCCACCCAACTTTTACAAAAAAAAAGGAGCTAAAAAAAAGGATTAAGTACTAAATAAAATAAGGAGTCAGATATAAGGGGAAATGAGCTAAGCAGAATTAATTTAGTTCAGATTATTTTCCAATTTTCTACCTTCTTCCTTAAGACTGAATTACAGTAGAGTCCCTATCATCCGACTTTAACAGGACCGACGCATGGTCGGATTGCCGAATATGTCAGATGATAGGGACTGCTGCCGGGGAAGAAGCAGCCCCAGCAGGAGCCCCATCAGCTGCTCCTAGAGAGCACGGGGACAGCTGCTGCTGCTGCTGCTGCTGCTGCTGTCAGGGAAGAAGCAACCCCGGCAGGAGACGCATCAGCGACTCCAGGGCACAGGACGGGAGAATGGCCCCACTCGCTGCCCTGTTGTCCTGGGCAGAAGCAGCAGCAGCTGCTCCAAGAGAGCGATGGGGCAGCAAGCGGGGCCATTATCCCCGCCCGCGTTGTATCCGACCCTGAAGCTCCCAGGGACAGATAAAGCAGTGTGTCGGATTACTGGGAGTCGGATAATCCGGACTCCACTGTACACTGATCTTGCGCAGCAGCTGTGCCAATGGACAGTTTGAACATACTGGGGTTAGATGTGTGCACGCCCGGAACATTTGTTAGGGCAGCTTGTCCTCTCTGAGCAAGCACGCTTGTTCTCCTGCATGCTGTATGTTGAGATTTGGCCTGAACGTGACTATCCAGTGAAAATTTGGAGTGTCTGGCGTGGGAGCAGCTATAAAGTTAGTCATGGGAGGAGTTCACAGGACCATTCCAGCCGGCTCGGGCAGCCCTTGTCTGCAGCAGAAGGAGAAGCACTTCAGCCTGGCCTATTGAATTAAGAACTAACTTGTGCCAGTGAAGTGGCAAGTTTATTAGCACTCTAATTCAGCTGTGAAATTTAAGAGGTTTTTTTTTTTAAGTTCAAATAGGCCAAGTATTTAAAAGGCATCTGTTTTGCTGTCTATGAAAGTTGGGTTATAACCCTTATTTGAAAGGTGTGACACTGTATCTTGGGAGAGTGGCCCGTCACTCCCGGCCATATTCCTCATTTTTATATCTTCACTTGTGGCTTTTCCTACCACTTACGAATAATCCTATCACCTGAAACTTGTGCTGATAGAACCTGTGTGCCATGCCACATAGAGAGAGAGAGAGAGAGAGTGTGTGTGTGTGTGTGTGTGTGCGCGCGCGCGCCAACGAGGAGAGTAAAGGGCGTTGAACAAGGGTGCATTTAAGGGGAGAGGGTAAGAAGGCTGCAATCCTCCCTAAGTTTCTTACTATATCAGGACTCTTTCTCCTGCCTCCCTTTTAAGAACAATCCAGGCAATGCTTTGTCCTCCCCCTCCTTTTAGCTCACTAGGGTGAAAGAAATGCAGGCTCATGAAGCACAAATAAAGGCTAAGCCTGGGTCTTTTGTTGTGCTTGATAGAGACTTGCCCAGCCCATGCAGGAGCAGCTGGGTTAGAATCAGAGCTTCTGGTGCCATTACTGGCAAGAACAGAAAGAACTGCAACAGGAAATGCAAAACATAAAGGTGAGCAGTCAGCTTATTGCTTGCTTGCATCCCTTAGCTTACTTTTCTCCCCTCACCAGCCTGCCAACAGCAACATAGGTAGCTTTTCCTCTGCAGGCTCTCACCCCACAGCCCAGGCTCAGTCACTGTCTGAAAAGCTAGTTCACTCTTCTCTCCTCCCATCCTCTTTGGGGGCTGTTCTTTGCTCTACCAACAGGAATACAGAGGTGTATCTGGCAGATCCAATAGCAGGGCTGGGAACTTCTGCAGCACTTTTTTCAAATTCATTGAGACAAGCAGGCTGAGGTAGTGGTGGGTGGAGAAGGAAGCTGAGAAGATGATTATTGCAGATTTCATTATGATTTGCCCTCAGCCTCACAGGTTGTTATGTTACAAAAGCAGGGAGGAATAAGCCCTTTGATACCAAGAGACATCGAGTTGTTTAGGCAGGGCTGCCCTCTTCAAGTTTCCCAACTTGGAATGTTTCAGTGCTCTGCTGCAAGAGCAGCAGAGCTGAAAAATGACCGCCTGGGATGGTTCCTACTGTCAAGAAACAAACATGAGCTGTCACACCACAAACATTGCTTAAATTACACTTACAGCTTTCCCATTTTTTTCCAGCTCTCGAATTTTGGGGGGAATGGCAATACCCCTGCATGGGTACCTATTCTATTTAGTCCCACTTGTTTGAGTCTTTCCTTTGACTACAAAGCACTTTGGGTCAAATTACCAGGTAGGGCCATACAGGCTGTTACACACAAATGTTGATTCCTCAACTGGTTGCAATTGCACTTTATAATTCTAGGATTTTCCCAGAACACCTTTTAAAAAGCTGCTGTTATTTTTACATATGCAGATACAAACAAATGCTGCCCTAAGCAGCCAGCCATTTTACAAGCTGTATGTCTACTGTGCTGTGCTGTATGTATTTCTCTTCCAACTAGTAAGTAATCTTAGCTCCTGTTTACTTATTCTTTAATATTTCTGAGGATGGCAGAGTCTCACAAACTCGAGTACTTTCCCTGAATGTCATAGAGGTGATGTTTATACTGTCAAATCCTTTGAGCAACACACTAAAAATCTCCTTCCAATCTGGAATGTGGTTTGTTTTTCAGTAATTTATTTATTTTTAAGAAATTAACTGTTTCATTCTCCTCTTCACAATTTGGACCAAAAGTCATTTAAAAAAAATAATTGCAAGGCTAAGCAGACTTTAAGCGTATTGTATTTATCTCTACTAAAGTTAGTGTACACAGTATCAAACTTGTATTAAGGCTCTAAAATTGGCACCTCAAGATTTGGAATGGGAAATATCTTGTTGTTGATTGTTCTAAATTTATGACTAAATTTAAAATATTGCTTTAATTAGTACATTTTTTTCTTAATTTCTTAAGAATTAGGAACACTGTTCCTATCTGCTAATTTCTAAGGGTACGTCTATACTACATGCCTCTGTTGCCAGAGGCATGTAGATTAGGCTACCAGACATAGTAAAATGAAGCGGCGATTTAAATAATCGCCGCTTCATTTAAATTTACATGGCTGCCGCGCTGAGCCGACAAACAGCTGGCGACAGAGGCATGTAGTCTAGACGTACCCTAAGTTATCACATGGAAAAAAAAGGAGGTTGGTGTGGGGTTCAGGTGCTTAAGTAGCCTCTGGAATGGAATCATGGTTAAAGCTGCCTCCCTCCCACCCCCCCCACCCCGATCTGAAATGGTGCTATGGCTTTAAATTGCCATTGTAGTGCTGTGCCCACACACTCTGTGAAGCTCTAAAGGCTGGGGGCTGGTGGCATGCTGCAGTCCAGGTGGTGCAGAGAGCTGGCTGCTCCTGGCCCCACCCCTTCTGCCCAAGGCCCCACCATTTCTAGGAGCAAAGAGCCAGGGGCCTGCGGAGGCTGTCAACTTGTATGTTTGCATATGCAACAGACACATATTGCCTTAATTTTTGAGCTTGCTAATGCTGGAGACTCAGGCTAACTTTTCAAATCTAATTTTTGGAACTACTCCATTTAGGTGACATTATATTTAGATGCTCAATCTGCTGGACCTTGAAAGGGCCTTATGTTTCACCAGAAGGGTGCCCAGACTTTCTGAAAATCTGTACCCATTTAAGGTACTTCAGCCCAGGCACCCAGAAAGTGAGGAACCCAAAATCACTAGTTATTCTTGAAAATGTTAGCCTAATGCTCCAATCCTGTAATCTGTTACATATGAATGAATATCTATGCCCAAGTAGAGACCCCCTGACTTCAGTGCTATCATGAGGATCCTCTCCTTACAGAATAGTTTGCAAGACTGTGGCATAGCATTGAGAAAAATATGACTTTTCCTCAAAAGCACTTGTTTTTCTGTTGGCGTTGCTGCATAGTTCTAATAAATTATATGATGGGGAAAAACACAAGGGAGGACAAGATTTGGGCCAATACATATGATATGTAACCCTTCTGTCAGGTAGCACCAGTAGCAGCCAGGGCCAGGTTCAATATCTAGGGGTTCCTCTCCATCCATCCAACACAGAACTGGCTTGAGTTCCCACCTTGTAACCTGGGAAATTCACACAACACCCCTGGGTGCCTCTGAAAGGCAGTTTCTCTCCATTTACAAGCACAGAGTCTAAGGGTACGTCTAGACTACAGGCTTTTGTCGACAAAGCTTCTGTCAACAAAGAGCATCTAGACTACATCCAGTTCTGTTGACAAAGCAAGCCGCTTTGTCGACATGACAGTGTGGATGCAAAGGACAGTATAGATGCAATAACACCTTCTATCGACAGAATTCTGTCAACAAAAGGTGTTATTCCTCATAGAATGAGGTTTACAGCCGTCGACAAAACTACTGAGTTATGTCGACGTTATGTTGACAGAACTCAGCAGCAGTGTAGACGCAGGTATAGTTTTGTTGACAAAAATCCACTTTTGTTGACAAAACCCTGTAGTCTAGCCACACCCTAAGTATAGAAAAGAAACCTTTAATAAAAGGGGAGGGAAGTAACATGGCATTAATTTGG